GCCTTCTCTGTTGCTGCTCCGGCCCTATGGAACGATCTCCCCGTTGAGATCCGGACCCTCACTACCCTTCCGGCCTTCCTCAAAGTGACCAAGACCTGGCTGTTCTGGCAGGCCTGGGGCTGTTGAATTATCCGGCCCCATCTTATGTTATGAATGTTGTTGAATTTTTAATTGTTGTTTTTTTTTTTTTATATCCCCCTTTCCCTTCTTATTTGTAAGCCGCCCTGAGTCTTCCGAGAGTGGGCGGCATACAAGTTAATTAATTAATTAAATAAATAAATAAGATTAGTGTATACACCTGTTTTCCTCTGAAGCTATTTTTACTCTTTTTTATATACACACACTTACATACGCTAATGATGCCTCCAACAAGCTAATTCAGGTACTTTCTTATATATGTATGGTCCATGGTATCCCCCCACCCCCCCAATCATAACTTCAAGTTGCACACTTTATTGCTATTTATTTTAAAATGCTGTTATTTCATATAGAACTGTCCAAAAATGACATAACATCCTTAAATTATTTAGATTAATTTAATATATCCATAGAACCCAGAATTACCACACCAAGATTTTAAGTATGCTATTAGCTCATAGGTTTAGAACATATTAACCACTTCTAAACCACACAATCTCCCATAATTTTATTTCACTTATGAAATAAATGTTCCAATTCAGTGGTTAATTTATCTAATCAACTAAATCAATACATGTGCAGTTTATCTCAATATATCACGATATACAATAATTTAAAGATGCTGTTCCCAAATGAATCACTTTCAAACATTCAGCAATAGCAGTTATATTAACTAGATGTTTCATTATATTTTCTTATTTCAGAATCTCTAGAAAGTTTTCCTTGCAAATATTAACTGATTAGATAAAGAACCAGTTTAGTCTAGTGTTAAGGCACCAGCTGGAAAACAGAATACAGTGAGTTCTAGTCCCACCTTTTAGCCATAAAAAGGCTTAGCAGGTTTGGGAGAGTTATTCTCTCTCAGCTCTGACCCAACCCACCTCACAGCATTGTTGTTGGAGGGGAAAATAAGAGGAATATATTCACTGCCTTGAGTTATTTGTAAAGATAATTAAGATGGAATACAATAAATTAAAATGATTTTATTTTTTAAAGTTATTATATTTATAATTATGAAAATATGTATAAATAAATAATTTTAACTACATACCTGCTTACACGGACATTTGCGGAGAATATCAAACAAGTCAAGGTGGTAGTTGTGACCATGCAATAAAAACCCCACTCCTTAAATGCACTGCTCATGCAATGCATGTAAAAAAGGATGGGATTTTGACTTTTCTGAGTCCCCCTCCACCTGAATGCTGCTGACTTCGATTCATTATGTTCAGTCTCATTCCAAGTAAATCCCTAGACATTTTGTAGTATTATAAAAATAAGTTCACTGTTTCTTTCTTGCCTACCTGTTAGATTAGCTGCCATTTCTTCAGCTGTGTGACATAAGCGCAGCCCTTGTTTCAGGGGACCTTCTGAGTCTACATACTGCCTGCGTTTGACATAGCAGTTAACAGCCATCTGAATCTGTTCGGTGCGTACACGTTTCATGACCTTCAAAGAAAGAGAAGCAGAATTCTAATTCCAAGGAAACAGTAAAACCCATGAGTTTTATGTAGCATTTTCTTAAGACGTAAGTTATTGGAAACTGCAAGCCACTGCAATGTTTCAATCAGAGAGAACTCATACAATATTGGGAGGTAGTGTTTAGATTTCAGCATTTTGAGATGGACAATGAAATAGTTTGATGATTATTTAAAATAAAACCTTAACTAAATGTTGAGCAAGGATTTTGTCAATGAAGACTTCAAATTGTCACTGCCCTAATTTACAAATCACATAAAACAATGCTTTTAACCAGTCTATTGATCAAATAAACCATAATTGCTATGTTCACTGACAATCTAACTTTTTAGATTTCATGGCACCCATCAAATATTAAATTGCTTGGAAATCTTTATTTGCAAATTATTTTTCAACACTATATGGCATTATTGATGATGAATATTCTACGTGATCTCACAGGTGGGAATGTGTGGCTTTTCATAACTTACCATGCAGGCTGAATTGTTGCCTCCCTTCCTAATTGTTCAGTTTTTTCTATCCATCAATCAGAGAAATGTCTCCCTAAATACTACTCCTGACAGGACCAACACTCTTGGATTGTCAAGAGTTTGTGTTCAATAAACAATAATGATATTTCAAACAGTAGGATAGAATTAAATTTACTGCTAATCTCTACTGTGGCTATTTTGTCTAAGCTCCATGCAGGCTTCTATTTGCTTATCTCCAGCGATAACTCAGCATCAAGAAAGCAAAAGATAAAACAGAACCCAATACACGGTGGCCAAATATAAAGTCCACTTATTCAAAAGTTTCACGAACTGTGGCTTTCATGCTCCCAACGTAACAAGGAAAGATGCACAGACCATCCTCCCGTTTCCCTGCCTTTCCGCCACATCCGTCCGCGGGGAAAGCACTTGCAAAAAAATCCCCCAAAGAAACACGGGGAGAGGAAGGAAAGAAAAGGGGGATAGTAAAAGATGATCGGGGGTCCATACACGATCGGAAAGCACCTCCCCACCCTTCCAGCTCTTCCTGCCGCTCCGGCAGCTGCACCGGCGGGAAGAAGGGAAAACCAAAGACACGGAGCCCGATTTTACCCAGGGAGGGCCCGAGAGCGCTTCCGCGCGCCACGCGCAGCTCGGCTTGCCTCGACTCTCTTCCACCCGCCCGAGCAAAGGAGCAGCTCCGCGGGGAAGAAATATACTCACTGGAGCATTGCAGGCATGGAAGTAGGGAGAGAGAGCGAGAGGGCGCGCGAGCCGCGGCGAACGTGGGTGATTCCTGATGCAGGCACGCGACAGAATTCCCGGGTTCGCGCCGTCAGTCACTGCGCCCAGCCGCGCGAGACGACTCCGCCGCGGTTGCTGCTGGTGTTGCGGAGATCGCGGGCTCCGGTGGTGGCGGGAGCAGTTTTTCCTCCTGGGGGAGCCTTCTGCAAACTCAGCTGGCCCGGACGTCCCGCGTTGCAAGCTCCGGCGGCGTTAGCAGCTTCGATGACTGTCGCGGCTGAAAACCGCCGCTCCATGACTGACGGAACTGACTCGGAGAAACCGAGGGGGGGGGGGGGAGGTGGGCCGAGAGAAAGGCGACTGCGCAGGCGTAGCCTTCTAACCAATGGGAAGGCGCTCTTTCTTTTCGACGCTCAGCTAGGAAGGCCTGCCCTGTTCCTTTCATCCGGATAATTAGGTGACAGAGGAGGACACGAGGAGGTTCCGGAAGGAGGAACACGTGCGTGGAAGCATCTGGGAAACTCGTGGGAAGAGGAGGTGTCCTCGCCGCCGTGGAGAGTCGCGGGGCGGAGGAAGTCTGCCGGGGTCTCCCGAGGAAAACGGTGCGGATGTCATCAGAATAGCCGTATAGCCTGTGTGGCATTACGGTCCTTCGCAATTCTCGCTAGCTCAGCTTGTGCCTAAAGTTGAAGTTGAAGCCCAATTCTCTTTACTCCTCAGCCCTCAACCAGCAAGGGACTCTTGGAAGCTGTTGTTATTCGGCAGGGCGGCGAATTTCGGAAGGCAGCTAGAAACCGATCTTGTGCGCAAGGCTTCTAAGAGGATTTCTAAGCGGTTCTGATTGGATGTGAGTTTGCAAACTTCGTAACAATTGAGATAAGCGGAGAGAAACCACGGGGAAGCCCTCTTATTTCTTGTGTTAGAAGGCAAGCTTTCCTGGAAGTTATATAGACTGCTCTGAAGTTACTGCTTCTTAATTTGTGGGGGGTCAGATGATGGAGAGGCATGGATCCTTAGCAAGGGGCAGATGCTAGAATAGAATAGAAATAGGAATAGGAATAGAATAGAATTCTTTATTGGCCAAGTGTGATTGGACACACAAGGAATTTGCTTTGGTGCAAAGCATAAAAAGACATGAAAAGATGCATGCAACAAGAAACATAAGGTACAATACTTAATGATAGTCATAAGGTACAAATAAGCAATCAGGAAACAATATCAATATAAATCGTAAGGATGCAAGCAACAAAGTTACAGTCCTGCAGTCATAAGTGGGAGGAGATGAATGATAGGAAGGATGAGAAGACTAATAGTAATAGTAATGCAGCCTTAGAGAATAGTTTCACAGTGTTGAGGGAATTATTTGTTTAGCAGAGTGATGGCATTCTGGA